AACCACCTGCAGCCTGCGTAACCCTCGGGCAAAGTCACGACCTCTCCTTGACTCAGTTTCCCCACCTGTGAAATGAGGAGATAATAATACCCATTTCTCATGGTTATTGTGAGGCATAGACGGGACCGTGCATGTAACGCCCTTGGCACAGTGCCTGGGGTGTAGTGAGCGCTCAGTAGAAACTGCTACTCATCTTTTTGGGAAGACTGACATCAAGAGTGGCTTAACCAAGGAGTCTTCTGTTTGCTAGACTCGTAAGTTTGGAGTTCGAGGGAGATTTCATTTCGCAAATGGAAAAACAAAGACCCAGCCAGGGAAAGAGAAGCGTCTACAGTCAGACAGCTAGCGACCCCAGGACTCCTCCTAATTTCCTCCGTTAGACTCCGAGGCGCCCAGTCAGAAGCAGGGAGGTGAAGCGCATATGTAATTCACAAATAGACAGTAATAGAGGTAATGCTGAACCTCAGAGCTCTGCGTGGTAGAAACATTCCGTATGGGGGAGTTCATTATCTTTAAAGGCATCATTCTCCCCTGTCCTAGGGTGAGACCCGTGGGCCAGGAGGGTGGCCTGAACTGCCCCAAAGCACAAAGCCAGGGCCAGGGCCTGGCCCTGGGTAGAGCCCTGGACTCACCGCCTTCAAGTCCAGTGCTCCCTGAATCATACAACTGTCACACCCTCCAGGAAATGGAGAGAGAAGTTACATGCACAACAATCCTTGGGTTGTCAAATTTCTGTTTCTAATGTCCTTCTAGGGACTTCTGTGAGTTCCACTAAATGGTGGCTTCAACTAAGGCAGGAACACGCTATTTATCAAAATCTGATGAACACCCTGAGAATGTCTGGGAAGCCTTCTCATCTGCTGCTGTTGAAACTGCAGCCATGATTCTGGAAGGCAATTTTGCATGACGTTATCAAAAGCCTGAAAAATAAACGTACTACATATCTCTAGGATATTGTACCAAGATGTTTATTTTAACCGGAAAAAAATGGCAAGGAACCCACAACTCAAATGTCCCATAATAACGGGTTGTTTCAGTAAATCATAAAGGATGTATGTTTTGGAAGGCTATGCGACTAATAAAAATCATGACATAAGAGCAATATTTAACGATCTGGGAGATGTTCACAATATAGTAAGTTAAAGTGAGTTTGCCAAGAGTCTTGTAAGATATAAGTTTTATAATATGAGACACCCATTTTAAATGAGTATTTTAATGTATTAAAAAGAGTCTTTAAAATGTGCATTCATAGGAAAAAGTAATATAGTTTATAAACATATCATGATCCATGTGTACAGTCATATGTAAATATGCACACATGTGACACATAAAACACCATGTATAATCATACACATGTATCATCTACATAATTTATACATATATAATCTATACACATATATAGACTATACATTCATAGCTGATGGGGAGGGGGTATCAGGTTTTCCACATGAGCATGCGTTTTTTTTTTCCTGGAATGAGCATGCAATTTTTTTGTAATCATAAAAACAAAATTCTGAAGCCCTTCTGAATTTAAACTAAAGCTCCGATCTGTGTCCAACAGCAGGAACAGGAAGTAAAACGTCTCAGTGGGTCAAGAAGTTGGGACCACGAATCGGAGCCAATTTTCTGCTCGAACTCCTCCAAGCACCTCACTTAGCGATATCTGCAGCTTTTTTACAGTCCCGTTGGAACTTTTCTCATGCTCATTGGTAGTTTGTCATCCAGAAGAGCTTGTGAGGACAAGGTCTTTTCTGACCTTTCTTTGGAGGGGAGCTTTATACCACAATTGGGCAATTGCGCCCTCGTGTGGCACCTCATGGGTACAGGTTTTTGTCCTTAAGGAAAATGTTACAGTGTCTACTGTGTCTACAGACAGAGACAAGATGGCCTATGGGCTCAGGACGGGAGACCCTGGTTTACAAGTGGGTCTCTGATCCCAAAGGGAGCTGCTAAACTGGGCTTCTAGAAATTATAATACATCTTCCCTAGAAATGATAAACACTGGGATTAAGAATCAGTCAAATGTCAAAAACCTACTAAATCATTGTCTACTTGTAATAGTCTCAGCTTCCTCTCCTGTAAGTAACACTGTTTTGCATCATGTTCTAAGAGGATCAGAATATGTGAGGTTTCCCAACGGGATGCTTTTATCGCCTTTGATGTTTCCTCTATTTGGGTTTTCTTACTCAAGACACTTCTTCCCCAAGTAATTACTACTCACTTGTCAAGACAATCCCAAAGGCCACCTCCCTCAACAACACCCCCAGACTGAATGAAGCCGCTTGCCCCTCCCTTGGCTCTCAAGACACTTTGTATTTTTGCTGCAAATCTCTATCATTAGCAGTTTTTCTTGGCGATGAGAAATTTGGACCAGTGTAAGCTCCATGAGGACAGGTTTTGTTTTTGGTTTTGTTTTTGTTTTTTGTCCCTTAGCACTTAGCACAGCTCCTAATACATAGTAGGTGTTCAAAAGTACATGTTGCATCAAAGAATTGCTCAGGTATGTATTCCTCCTTCCCAGCTCCCTTGGGACCATCTCTAGTACAGTCCAGCACAAGCATGCTTACCCTTAAATGTTATTCACTGAAAATGCCCAGCTACACCCACTGAACACCCTCCACCACTGAGACTTTGCACGTGGATTTGGCAGTCTCTTGTCAGCTACAGCCTTTGATTCACCCGGAGCTCACTGAACTCTGAAATGAGCTGCAGCGTTAGGCAGGCCTCAATTTCCCCAGCATCATGGCCTGATTGATAGGATTCCTTTCTCTCATGCTCCCAGCATGCTCTGAATCTTGGGGGCAGGCAGGAAGCCCTCTGCTATTTGTCCCAGGTGAACTGCTCTTCCTTCATGTCTGCCAGCCAGCTGCCGGAGTGCCCCTACTGTGCTCAGCTGCTTTCTTGCCTCCTGAATACCCAGGACATCTTCCCAGGCCCCCAGCAGGCCCTCCACCCACACCCACAAACCAAGGCACACTCCTTCCAGCCGATGCCGGGGGCAGGAGGTGACTAGTGCTTATTTGATAAACGGATTTCTCTGTTCCTATAACTTGGGTGCCCTGGGACAGGATGAGCAGATGGAGGAATTGTGATCCAATCCAGTCTGAAAACCATGCTGAGCCCTAGATGAGGGCTGGCCACTGCCACCCTGGTCCGACCCCAGCCTTGTGAACCGAAGTCAGAACACACCTCACTGCAGGAGAGTGTGTTTGCTGAACATTCCCACAGATGGTGGTTACAGGCCCCACCGTGACGACGGTGCCAGAACAGGACCCCCTCCTCCCCTAAGCATCTGCTCTCCTATCCTCCCCATGTGTTTGGTTCCCAAAGAAAAATCACCGTAGAACATGCAGAATTTCCTCTCTCCACCCGTGCAGCATTCAAAACAGCCGTATTTGTTCTTCCCTGGAAAATGTTGGTTTTCCATAAATACCCACATTCATTTGATAAACACTGATGAAATGCCTACTGTGTGTCAGATACGGACGTCTCTGTGGCCTTGAAATGAGCTACTGAGGCGGCCATGGAATCGCCTGCAGACTCCCACACTCGGTGTGTCAAGAAGACAGCCCACAACCGGCGGTCCCTCCCATCCACCGCTGGGGCCCTGCTTGAGGGCCTCAGCCAGGAGATGGCAAGATAACAAAAGTGCACGCCCTTTTCATGGGGGAGTGTAATAGCTCAGCAGTAGAGTGTGTGCTGGCACGCACGAGGTCCTGGGTTCCATCCCCAGTACCGCCATTAAAAAATACATACATAAATAAAAACTAATTACCTTCCCCCCTAAAAAATACAAACAAAAATGAATAATTAACATTTTTTTCAAGGTGCATGCCCTTTGGATCACCAACACTATTTACAGTATTTCTCGAAAAAGAACAACTCTACAAGTATAAAGTCAATCACATGGGTGTATATCAAATGGATGCTGAAAATAGCCAAAGAGAAGAATATAGTAACCTAGATGTCAATCCACAGGAAACTGGTTTAAGTAAATTATGATACATATCTCCAGTGAAATATTATACTGCCCTTAAAAATAAAAATAAGCATATATATTTATTTACATAAAGAGACACCCATATGTGCTGGGTTGAATGGTGTCCTCCACCCCTGAATTTATGTTTACCAGATGTAATGAAGTTTAAAAGAGGTCATATTAGACTAAGGAGGGTCCTAATGCAATGACTAGTGTCCTTGTAAGAGGGAAATTTGGTTCCAGACACACAGGGAAAACACCACATGAAGATGGAGACCAAGACTGATGTGATGAATCTATAAGACAGGGG